AATAGGTATGGCTGGTACAACTGATGGTGAAACTTCAGAGAGTAAAATTTGGCTTGTTACTTACTCCTCGAGTGTTGCTAGTCTCTACTTCTGTAATCGGTGTTACTAAATCGATCAGATACTTTGGAGCCTACCGCGGCTCGGGCTCTACTTGCCCAGCTCTCTGGGTACAAGCTTTACCTCGACCACGTTCTCATTCCAATGTTTATAATACCAAGAGGAGAGCTTATTTGACACAGTAAGTGAGATCCCAATCATAAATAACATAACATATACTAATAGGAAAAATCGTATCACTTATCATTTATGCATTTACTTTTCAATCAAAGTAAGGTGGTTGTCACCAAAAAAAAATTTGTAAATTTTCGAATATACGTATATAACTTCCTCACTCATTCTAGGAATTCCTAACGGACTCTATACATGATTCCTAGGAAACTCTATACTAACTCCTCAACTCGACACATGAATGATCCTAGGATGCTGGAACTAGAGCTCTGATACCAACTGTGACGCCCTTGGGTTCACACAAGGCTACAGTCTAAGGTAAAACCAGAGATGTCAAACCTGCTATGCACTCACACTATGCATAAACATGTTTTACCAATCACAGTAATATCCTCTAGTAGAATCAAATAGAAGTGTAGGTACAAACAGGCAAAATAAAGGGAATAAATGTAATAGACATGATATAGAAGATATATCTCATAAATAAAAAGAATCATGTCTCAACTATAATACATCTGATATCTGAATAATGAAAATGTCTCAACATGAATCAACTAAAAATCGTACTAAGGCACACTGCCTTTACAATATGAATATGAAACTCTAATATCTGGATAAAACTCAAAACTACAGTGAAGTCTCTACAAGTAAAAATACGCGACGGCGACTATGCCAGAACTCCATCACCTTGCGGCTCTTCGAAACTCCGAAGTACCTGAAAAGTAATTTAAAAAAAAAGAATAACAACAAGAGCGTCAGAGCGCTACAGCAAGATTACCTCCATCCGCCCCCAGGGGAAGGGCTACTAGATGGAGTGAAGGCTCTATCTATTAAGTATAGTCCATCTAGATTCATTTTTCCCGTATCTAAGTAGGATTAACATTTAGAAACCTACAAAACGAGACGTAGTACGTCGAGCGAAATAATCCAAACAAGAAAACCCTCATGTATATACCATAAGTCTCAAATTGTAGATATCTAAACATTAATACCGAACTAAGAAAAGACAATCTAATGAAACCAATAATTAGAAATCCATAACACGAGACTGGTACGTCGAGCGAAATAATCCAAACAAGGAAACCCTCATGTATATACCATATGTCTCAAGTTGTAAATCTCTAATCATTGATCCCAACTAAGAAGTAAAAAAAAAAGTAAAAGAAATAAGATATCAACACATCGTATTTATAATATCTTCCACTATCACTGGGGAGATAGAATAAAATACCAACACATAATTTTGTATACTTTCAAAAGTAATGTATCTTAGTTATATAGTTTAATGATAGATCGTATTCATAATCGGCATCTGTCATACTTAGGCTATCAAGTAATTGTCTCAGTGCAATGGACTACCCTGTAGGTATCATGAACTGTGTACACGGCTCATTAGTCTCATCGCGATCTTAGTGCGTAACACGAGTGCGGGACGGACTACCAAATAGGCATCCTATAAATACGGCTCACGAGCCTTATCGCACCCTAGTGCGGGACGGGCGGCTAGATCAAGCCTCCTAAAATCCGACTCAATGGCCTGTACATGTGGAATATCGACGTACTACCTCATATAGTACTGAACTAAGCTCATCAACGATATCCACCTCATGTAAATCTTTGTATCTCTGGTATGTCGACGCACTATCCCATATAGTACTGAGCTATACTCATCAATGACATTCACCTCATGTATAAACCGTGTATATCTGGTATGTCGACGCACTATCCCATATAGTACTAAGTTGTGCTCATCAACGACATCCAACATGTATATGAACTATATCTAATTTAATATGATCAAATCAAAATTTATTATAATCCCCTTGGGATTCTTAAATGTCTAACATAACATATTCATGACTATACGTGTAACATCAAGCGGCTTAAAACTCCGTGAACGTACCTCAAAACAGTGCAACACAGCTCCACAAAACGAGCAGGAAAAACAGACGGGATATCTATTAGTAAAACAAGTATATCTTTCTCTAGGAAACTATTTTTACAAACAGTTTTCTGTTTTGGAAACTAGATTCACACATCTTTCAAATGACATAAGTTTGGTTCAGTTTGGAGTTCATTTGTTATCCCAAATCTCCAGTTAAACATTATATATGTGCAGCCGTTTTTCTGCAGGACATGTTGTTAGTAAACATAACATATCTTTCTCTATACAAAGTCTTTTTAAGAATGGTTTTCTGGTTTAGAACTAGATATATATAGATTTCATATAAAACTGGTTTGGTTAAATTTGGACTTTGTTTGCTATCTTAAACTCTTAATTAAAAATTATATAAGTGCTACAGTTTTCTACAGAAAAACATATATATAGTACATCACTTAAATTTCTCATATATGAATAAAATTATGAAAAACCGTAATGATCATGATCATGATACTATCATAAATAGTAAGAAAATATTATTCATTTAGCATTTATTTTAAGGTTTACTATCAAAAAAAAATCTAACTTTTAACACCTCCGGTTAAGATTAAAGCATGAAAACACATATTTAACATCATATTAATCATCTACACTAGTTATTTAACTATGAGAATAGGTTTGAATGAAGATAATCTTGCATTAATCTCATATGAAAGCCTCTAAAATAAACAACAAGCAATCCATGAGCACAAACCACACGTTCTCCCTCGTCACACATCGATGATCTCGTCATTGTATCGATATTTGCTTCACACAGCTCTCAAAACTCATAAGAATAAGATCTAGGGTTTTTGAGGGGAGAGGGTGGCTACTAGGGTTCATAGATATGATAAGAGTATAGAATTTTTGTGAAAAACATAGGTATTTATAGAGGCAAACCCGAAACAAACATGTTTGACCCGAACCAGGAAACCTAGTCTGACTAGAAAAATAATCTTCGGTATTTTGGTCATAACTTTCACGTACGACCTCGGAATGAGGTGATATAAGATTTTTTAGAAAGCTCTTGAAGATACCTATAACTTTGGTATTTTAAGTTTTTCCATATTCTAACTGTTTCAGTATGTAAAATACATATATTTTTAACTAGTCGTTTTTCCCAGATTCAGGCCCGTGCACGTGTGCATGATATCACTTCTATATTCACATATATACATTGAATTGATCTCAAATCAATTCTTAGCATACTAAAACATTAATAAATATTATTTTTTTATAATACAATACTTTTATTATTTATTATAAAATATTTAAATTTTTGGGGTTTTACAGACCCGGACGAGGGAGTGAGGAGTGTATGAACGGTTGAGGCTGAAATCATTATTTGTCCGTACTGCAGGCAGATGCATGGTGCTGAGATAAAGAACATCTCCGAGAAAGGCCTCGAGCCAGACAAGGGAAGAGCACAAGATCAGGCGGTACCGCATCAGCAGTATGATGGCTGAAGCATGGGTGAGGATGAAGAGACGGTCGCCAAAAGCTACCACAGATTTTATTACTAGAAACCCCGCTGAGGGCACTAACATTGAGGAGAGGGGTTAAGATTTATCACTTCCCACTAGGAATTTTCATCTCGGCAGGTGATTTACCTTTTTGTATTAGCTGATTAAACTTGTGTTTCTGCTACTTGGTACTTTGCATTTGTTTGAAGATGCTACTATCTTTTCCCCCAATATGTTTGATCTTGTTCCTATTCAAGTTACCGACGGGTAACTATACTCTTTCTGAACTTTTTTTTTTTTGAATTGATAAATATAGATATTGCTTCACTTATTAATGGATATGGATATGAATAGTGATGAACCATTCAATATCTCCAAATAAATATCCACATACATATCCGACTATATAGGAGTATGTACGAGTGTATATGTCCTTTAGTATTGTACAAGGCAAGATAAAGAACTTTTTCTCTTGAAAACTTACAATAAGATTGAAAAAAGTTTCCTTCAAAAAAAATTCACAATAAATGGTACCCAGTTAAGTACGCGGATCGGAAGTCATCTATCTATTTTTATCAAATATAATATCGATCATTCAGGTCCAACTACTGTATTCATGTCCACATCAAGAAGAAGAAAAATATGTTGACGTGGTAATACCATATCAGCCTTGTACGTGCTTGGTTACCTCTCCTGGACTTTGTATTTGATTTTTATTATTTCCTCTATAATCAAATCGGTGGAGACCCCACCTTTTGCAAAATAAATCAGAAAGAAAGAAGATGGACAGAGCGAGTATTGGGGTTTTTTTCCCCGATATTGGGCCCTTATACCTTTCTTATTTTGATTGGTCCCTCAAATCATGGAAATTGCCTTTAGTTCCCTCAACTCTTAGGCTATTACGAAATTCACACCTCAAATCTTCCTAATAGGTTCCTCAATTGTTAACTTATTATGAAATTAATCCCTCCAATCAAGAATAGAAGTAGCAATTGTAGGGAGTACAAGTAAAATCTATTGTTGTGGACTATCCGCCCCTCCCATTCTCATAATTTTTTTTTTCAAATTTAATCTCTCCAATCGCTATTTATGTTCTTGAGTAGGGGGGCTAATCTAAAAGTAAGGTAATATTTGATGGACCTAATAGCAATTTCCATTATATGAGGGACTAATTTCAAAACACAAAAGATTTAATGAATTAAAATAGTGGCTCAGTTATGGAACAATTTCTTAAAAGAGGCCGAATATCATCTACTCTCGTGGGTGAGAGTTTAACCTTTTTTTGGACCCTCATTGCCAAAATTCCTGACTCCTGCCACTGAGAAAGAAGGATGATAGCTAGCAACTGGGGCATAGTTGAATATGAATCAAGAGACTGGTAGCTTTGCAATATCTTTTGCATTTGTTACACAGTTTATTTCAATATGCAGAGGAGGGCTCAAAAGAATAACCTAGATTTGTGCTCATCCTTTACAAACTTTGATTTCAACGTGTAGCTGTATATATATTACCCCTTGAGGTTTACAAGAATACAACAAATTTAAAAACACGAACAAAATACAATTACCTTCCTCGATCTATATTCATTATATTCATCTTGGACCTGACAAAATCGAAGGTACAAGTGGAGCTGATGTATCAATATTCACATTATGCCACACAAGAGGATCTGTATTTGAAAAGTTATAGTCTATGTTAGATTCAACACTTAACGATCCTTCTAGAACCTTCACCACTGCTGACATAGATGGTCTCTTGTTGCATTCACTTTGCAAACACCACATTGCGAGTTTCATTATCTCGATTATTTCACTCACATGTTGTTGCATATCTTCACTGTGATTATCGATCATATCTGACAGTCGATTTTCGTCTACCTTAACTTGCAGCAAACTCATCAGGTGAAAATCTTCTTCTTTCTGAGTATAATCCAAGTTCTTTCTTCCACATATAATCTCCATGATCACAACACCATAGCTATACACATCAGCTTTTTCTGTAATGATAGATGTTAGCCATTCTGGCGCTAAATACCCAGGTGTCCCTCTCATTCTGGTTATTACCTCAGCCTGATCACGATCAATAAACCTAGATAACCCGAAATCAGACACCTTAGCATTGAAATCATTATCCAAGAGTATATTTTGAGGCTTTATGTCTAAATGAGCAATCTTCTGCCTGCATTCTTCATGGAGATATGCCAATCCCTTGGCAATATCAGTTATAATCCTACGACGTATCTGCCAACCAAGTGTATTATCCTGCATCCTGTGGAAAATCCAGTTATCGAGCGATCCATTGCACATGTACTCATAGACCAGAAGCCTGTAAGATTTCTCAGCGCAAAATCCAATCAATCTCACAAGATTTACGTGATGAATACTACCAATTGTCTCCACCTCAGCCAAGAACTCCTTCTTCCCTTGTCCAACACCATCTAGCCTCTTCACTGCAACTATCGTGCCATCACTCAATGTTCCCTCGAATACAGAACCAAATCCTCCTCCTCCAATTTTTTGACAGAAGTTCTCAGTTGCGATCTTCAACTCCTCAAATGAAAATCTCGACGTAATTCCTTGTACCTTATCAAATTGATCTTCCTCATCAAGTTCTCTAGCCTTCCTCCTCCTTATAAGTACAATGACGAAGCCAGTGACAACAGAAACAGCAAATAGAGCTCCAATGGAGAATCCAACAATAACTCCAGCACCAACACTTTTCTTCTGTAAAGTTTGAGGTGTACCAGGAGTAGGAACCGTTTGAGCAGCTTGCACTTTAACGTAGGCAGATGAATTGAAGTGATAAATATCAGGATCATGGCTCTTTAACGAAAAGATTTGTGAGGGTAAATAACAAGAACCATCCGAGGAATTCCCACCGTACTGAAAAAGTGCAGCCTTACACGAACAGTTCATCAAACAAGCTTGCTTGCAGATCTCTTCATTTGTATGTTCAATGGCCACAGCATCAGGGTCAATATAATTGAAGTATGAGATATTGTTGAGCGGTAAAAACGTATGTTTTTGGTTCGATTGGCAGGACAAAGGAGTCACAAGAGAACAACCAAGGTCAGGCTGTCTCTCATTAACTTGCCTGAAAAATGTTGCATCCTTTTTCACACTTGGACAACTACACTGACCATTCGAGCAAATCCCATACTCTCCACAAACTGTAGGGTATTGACATTCATCCGGAAAAACATTTAAAACATCACCTAATCGATTCCAACCCGTCCCTCCCCATTCATAGAGCCTCAAATGCCCATCAGACTCCAGTCTCATATACTGAACCGATGAAGCATGAGTGACGAGCGCTCCCATATCTGCCAAACTGCCATTTGTGAACGTTATGTATGTCGATTTGTTCCGAGATTTAGTCCCCTGTACTCCAGTTTGGTAATAAAGTTGTGGAGGATTAGAATCAACATAAGTAGCAAAACCACCAGCAGTAATGCTGAGATAAAACTGACCCTGGGTCCAGTTTGTTGCTGATGTATTGGCGATTAGCCGTTGCCCTTGACGTAGAGTTTGGCCGAGGACCCAAGAATCTGTTGGATGATCGACTGAGGACCAAACTGATACATTATTTTGATCAACAAGTTCGAGACTTCCTGTATCGGTCAGGTTCATGCTGACCACAGACTTGCCAGAAGTATTGCTCGACCAAACGAGGGTGCCATCGAAATCACGAAGAAGTAGATTCCCATCATCGGATAACTGCAACGTCGCGTTTTCTTGAACGAGACGATCGCGATTTGCGGACCAGACCACCTGTTGGAATTTGTTAGTTTAAACTGGCAGCGCGCGTAAATTATGGCAACTACAGAGACTGAAAGAATTGCAGAAACCACAGCAGACAAGAATGGCAAGCTAAACTGCAGAAAACCAGCTAAACTCATCTCCTGAAGGAAGTATATATTCTCCTTCAAAGCCTCTCCTAGTGTCTTATTTTTAGATGCATATGTGCTGAAATAAACTATATATGTTGGCAGACAAATTATCACAGAAGAAGCATGCATTGACTGTGCCTTATCTGGCCTAGGAAAAATCAAACCCCTTGAGTCAGGCTCTTAGAGACGTTACGTCCTAAGCGCGCTTATATTACCTGAGGAAGGGCAGTGGTGGGCATGGTGATCT